ATTGAGATCTATTTTACCGTGTACACTGGTTCATATAAGAGCTCTGAGGACAGGACCGGCGCAGATGCTGGTGCCTTATCCAGAGGTAGCACATAGGCGACTTTGAGGAACGACCCCTCGAGGGTCTCAACTACACGTCGCTAGAATCATCCATGTAAATTAGCCTAGAACACATCAGAGAGTAGAGAACATACTGAACGGCTAAACCAGTCGAATATAGTCGCATCGTTGTTCGCTGTTGGGAAGTTGTAAAGGTGGCCAATTTGAAAGGACATTTTCAGAACAAATGATAGTGATTAGTAGGCCTGAATTGATGAGCTTTTAAGACTCTTGTGTGGTTCATTTTGTTTTTACGTCGCAGCTGACTTGGAGATCTTGCCTCGAGCAGATTCTAGAATGGCACCGACCCAACACCGACAACTGAATGGGGTGGAGACGAATCAGCCTGACCATTACGTCGAAACTTCAGAGACATGAGGCAAACTCGTGGATCAATGACACACTGGGCTGCATTATCTTTACGAAATTAGTTGATTCGTGAAAGCATTGAATTAGTTATCAGTACTTACTGTCACCGAGTCGGTTAATCATCAAGACGTTGATTCAGTGTTGTATTCATGGTTTCGGAGTCATTACTCAAATGAGAATTCTCGTGAGTGGAGATTAAAGAAGTGACTATTCAGCGATTTGATATTTCACTCAGCGCTCGGTGCTCAGCGGTCTTGTGACATTCCCGGGGAGACCCACAGTTGAATCTGGAATTCTCGCTCAAAAGCCTATCTGACAAATACTGGACGAGAGTTCAACGTTCAGCGCATCATTCCAAGACAAATACTGCCTCAAGTTCAAGTATCACACGCACGATACCTAGCACAGCAGACCAGACTTCGCAAAAACTATATCTGGTCTACTTGAGTTGCGTGTGCGAGTTTCGGAATAATCCGTTGGATGAAGTACTTCTATTGAAAATAAGTCAGAACCAAGTCAATAGAATTCAACAGGAGATTATCATTGAACCATGTCCTCTACACTGCAGCCTGCTCTTACATCTCTGTCCCCTATGATGCATGTAGCCAATTCCGATGATAACAAGACCAATCCCTTTAATCGTTGTGCAACTTGGCATAGCAGCATCCCCCAACCTAAGGACGCATATCCTTCTCCACACTCCCAGGAACTTGTATTGCAAGAGCCATCTGTAAGTAGCCCACTGTCAAGTGTCTAGATATCATGTGGCACGATTAATAACTATAAACTAGATGGATGTGCTATGTCTTCCCCCATTCTGGGAGACCACTCGCGACAGCGATCTCACTGTTCGCCTCATCAGCGCTCAGCGCTCGGAGCGTCGGGCAGAATGCGTACTTGTCCGGAAACGTCTGGAGCGCATAAAGATTGAACACGAACTCTATACTCATATGGACCGACTTACTGCGCAAAAACTTCGCAAAGCTGACACTGGGGTTGGTGTTTCACGCGGTGTGTTGCGCGTGTCTGGCCTTGCAGGCATGGCATTTGATAGTGTGGATAGTGATGCGTTAAGCGTGTTACATGACTCAGATGTAGAACTATCTTGAGAGTCAGGTTCGGAACCATTGTGGACAGCACACCACCAGTATGATACTGAACATATGTACAATGGCTCCAAAGTAGCTCTACATACGTTTTGGTAGTCTTTGTTTATGTCCTTTTCCTCCAGTGATATACTATATATTTTATCATATTGCATTCCACAGACCGCACCATACATTCTAGACGGTAGTACGTGATTACGACGATGTGTGATTCAAAACATACTTGGGCTCAAATCGTTTTCTAAATTTTACCTTGATTGTAGACAAGTTATTTATGAATTTAGGACATCCCTGCTCTCTGTCGATATTCTATTGATCATTATCCTCTGTAGTTAGATCGATGACCTCTGTGTCTGTCTCCGCCCTTCCTACACAGTTGTGAAGTTCGAACATTCGCCTTGTCATGATAAGCTCACAACCGTTGCACCGTGTGAGAAAATGACGGAATTCGCCTTCTGTAAGGCCAGGTCGGGTGAAGGAGTCCAGTTTTAGAAGCCTGTCAAATACTTCATAAGTCCTGTTCCACCGCCTTGTCATGACATCCGCTAGTTTGATGTCTATGGACATATGGTATCAGTTACCGTGCAAAATCACAGCTTGTTTGTGTACGTACCATTCCCATTAAGAAATGTGATTTCTCGTGGCCTAGCCTCGTCCGCGCCTGTGATATCATTCATGTCAGACGCATATGACTAACGGTTACCCACGATGTAGCTCACCGCGTCTCGGATAGTGCTTAATGGACAACCCGGATGAACTGTGAATTTGCCCGATGAACACTATGTACACGGGTCATCCACATCGTCATTAACAAGTTCAAACGACTGCTAGACGGTTGAGGACAACTTACCGATATAACCACATTTACTTGATGCACAACAGGCTACGTCCTCTCCTGCATGTGCTCCCTGTGTTAACATAACCATTGCTGCCTCACAGTGGCTACTGGGATCCTCGTCTATCAATGCACATAGGCAATGTGGTCCTCGAAATTGATGAGATCTTCGATGCGCTGCGAGGTCAGAAGGGGCGACACGCTGACCTGCACCAAACCGGTTCGGTGCATGGATGACTAATGCTCACTCACGAGCCCGATACCCTAGAAATCATTATGAGCAATCTTCCTTTACTTTATGGTTCAGACGGCAGTTCAGATAGTATTTTCATTTTCTCAGACAGACTCAGATAGGCTGAATATTCTTGTATATTTAATTTTGCGGTAAATTCTGCTTAGTCAGCAATAACAATGACTCAGACTGAATCCCACACATGTCAAGTAACAGTGTAAAATAGTTCTTGCATAATTTGCCTTGTGGGAACTTTCTTAACACTCTAAATACACGGCTCGCGTCATTTCTACGGTCAATAAAGTAACATTATAACAAGATACCAACAAATAACATAATCAGTCTGTTGCTTAATATTTGTCACATGATACTAAGTTATATGACTCTAACAGTCAGGTGACCTATGACCCTAAACCAAATCATGACAAAGCAACCTTTTTGAGATGACTAAAGCTTGATGACACAAATTATAAAGCACATGACTACAGTAAATAGTATTGGTACAATCTGACTAAGCCTATTCCCCTTAGAACGTGGGAAATAGTAACACAGCCACCATAATTTATCTATATAAGACCCCACTTTTTGCCAATAAAAAAATGCATATAGGGAACTTTTAAGCCCCACAAAATAAATTTGAGTGTGAAGTGTGATCAGTATCAACAACAGTGACAAGAGCTGTTAAGCAACTAACTGAGAGGTCATTGTAAGCAACATCCAGCAATACCTTTAGCTCATCGTCAACAACTGTGAAATATCTTGAGCTCACTGTGCTCAACAGTGAGCAAACTTTTTCTTTGATTTTCTACTGGTGAACCTCTAGTCTCTTTCTTTTCTTTTCTTTTCTTTTCTTTCTTCTTTCTCTCTTTCTTTTTTGTCTGTCTGTTTGTTTGTTTGTTTCTTTTCATTTGTCTCTTTTTCTGTTCAGTTCATTCACATCTCAGTGTTATTGTCTGAATTTGTTTCAAGATCTTTGTGTTGTCTTTACGTCCATCTAAGCACCGGCTTAGTGGGAAGACTTCAGAAGTTGATAGTGACGCTTGACCTCACTCATCTGAGTAGTGATACTGAGCCAGGGTTTTCTTTGTCTGCTAGACTTTAGTTGTTGAATAGGGGACTTGGTACTGAAATCCAAGGACGTCCGTTCCTGATTCTGTTTAATACTCATCGTGAGTTCCTTGGCAGCAGGTTCAATAGTGAACTAAGAGTTCTACTGATCACTGATTAGTCCTGACCTTTGATTCTACCTGTTTGTGCTGAGGGGGTGATTGCTATAATTTCGCACGACTTTCTGTAGTAAATTTATTACAAGAAGCATTGTTACTGAAGGAAGGGTTTCTCTTATCAATCTATTTCTTTTTTTATCAGTACCATACTGTTGGGCTGACTTTTCTCTGTCCTCTAAACACTGCCATACCGTTGGAGTGAATCAATTTCTTTTGTCATCACCATACCGTTGGGCTGACTACATTCTGTTTATTTTATTTTCTATTGCGTCCATACTGTTGGATTGACTGGTATTGCTACTGACCTCACAGGAAGTATTTTTGTCTGAACATAGCTTGGGGAAGTGTAAACAGCCACCCACGAACAACCACGTTATCAGTCATTGGTATTTGTCTGAATCACTGACCGTGGAGATTTTTGATTTTGTAGGTGTTTATCTATAGATCATCTATCTAAGAAGACAACGCTCTCCAGAGTCCGTCACTGGCCTGGATTCAAAACAAGGTAAAATATAATCCTGTACATATGTTGCTAACATACCAATGCCATACGCACAGCGTTTCCCTGGTATCATCTAGTTCGAGGACGGCATCCTTCCTGTCGCGGGCTCGGGCTGCAAGCTTAGCTCGCTGACGCTCTAGTTGAAATATATCTGCAACACCGGTCCGTGCGCAATCAGGAGGCATATTATGATACTAGCAGATTCAAGAACCATCTGGCCACACACTCTCAGGCTTTATAATGTCAGTACTAGTCTACTAGGTCCAGCTTCTCGTAATTCTGCGCCTTCAGCAACCGCCGCGAGGTACAGTCGCTCAACTACACTAAGGTGTTATTTTCAACACAACGACGTATGTGCGTACTTATTTTGTGTGTATTTCGTAATTGAGATATCCAGTAAATAGGTGTTCATTTACGTTGTATATTCAAAGTTTTCTTGAGCTCTAAGCGAGTGCTTCTTGGGCTTGGTGGGTCACCTCAGTACGTACCAAAACATAAACTTGAACTTGAACATGACTTGCAATGTTGCTACTCAGTAGAACGTGCTCCGCTGCATCATGATACAAGCCAACGTGTACTAGCACTCGGTGAGCGCAGAGCAGTTTGAACACTTTGAAATTTGGAGCTAATTACTACTAGTACTCGTATCACTGTTCAGACCCGTGGCAGTGGACAATTTTCCCAGTATGTCCTGAATCATCCAGATACTACCTACTACTCCTGATCTCAAATAACCGATAAACCCTTTAGATCACACCTTACAGCGATACTGCTCGTCCTTTCAATTTTATAGACCCCAAAATGGATGAACCATCGCCATCTTCTGAGTCGTCTCCTGTGAATCTGGCAGGATATCTGACTGTTTGCACTTGCGGAAGAGGCTTTTCGCAACTCAATGCATATGCAAACCATCAGAGGATGTGCAAAAAGCGGAAGAAGCACCTTTCGAATGCTCTGGCGAAGGCCAAAGAGATATGGACTGCAAG